GGCTCCCCTAAAAATTGATAGGATCTTGCTGGGCGTTCGGCTCCATGGCTCTGTTTCTCTCTCTTGCTCACTCACTCTGTCTTTCACTCTGCCTCTATTTCTTTTCCACTTTTTTCTCTCTTTCTTTACCTCTCTCTCTCATTCTGTCTTTCTCTCGCCACCCCATTTTTTCTTACTCACACACCCACCCCCCACCCCCCTCTCTCTCTTTACCTGACACCAAACTCTTGGCACACAATGCTGGCTTGGCCTCCAGACGCAACCAGTGGGGGTAAAGTCTGATCATCTGCTCAGAATGATAATGAACACAGTCACTCAGACTCGGGTTTTGTCGTGGCTTTGTCAGGCCGTGTCTGCGTTGATACACCCACGCGTAGCCCCAGGCTCCTCTCTCCTGTGAATAAATAAAGGCAGGTGGTGCTTTCTGGCCAGAAGGATAGAGAAACACTGTTTAGAAGCTTCACTAAAACAACAGATTGTAGAATGTGCTACAGTGAAAAATAATGCATTGAAATTACTTGATCTATGGGTACATCACTTTCCCATGAATATAATAGGCCTATATGCTGTATGTCCAAATATATCTATAGGCCACTTTTAATGAATTCAGCTACTTTAAGGTGAAGCTGACTCTGGTGTTCAGTTGTGCACACAGCTTGTACAACCTCCATAGAAAAGCACAGACCAGTAGAACGAGATGCTCTGAAGCTGCACAAGGTCACTGTGCCCAGCACTAAGGGGCTGAGCTGTGGAGTGTTGGAGCTCCATCTAGTACCTTTGGGATGAGCCGGAGTGGCGTTTGTGATCCAGAACTGATCGTCCAACTTCAGTACCTGACCTCACTAATGATCTTGTGGCTAAATGCAACCAAATCCTCACAGCAGTGTTCCAACATCCAGTATAAAAAAAACAATAGGGCTGCTACTGCAGCAAAGCGGGACAAACTCCATATTAATGACCTGGATTCAGAAGAAACACTGGATGATCAGATGTCTTCAAACTTTCAGACACAGTGTTCCTACATCAGTGCAGTTATTTCAGAAAGACGGGAATATCAATATCTTAGTCACGTGAATCTCAGAGTCCTTGGAGTGGAAGCTACTTTGCTCTCACTAGAGATCTTGGCAGGTTTTGTTGATCGACTTGTCTCTACTTTGAGTAGAGGGGGTCATTTCACTGACGTTCAAACTGACTGCTGTTTTTGTAAGAAGTTTAGGGGCAAACAGTTGTCAAAATGGTGCTACAAGAAAAACAGACTTGCATGAAATAAAGGGGTGTACAGTGGCTTGCCACTACTGAAATATACTAAATAACTTTTAAGGATGTGATGTTGTAAACTTTACAAGCTTTTTGTAATCCAGCCAGTCAGCGAGTGAGTTTACATGTACTTAATAATCCAATAACTGCAGAAAATCAGATTTTGTCAGTATCAACGCGTTCACATGCACTTGGGTAGTCAGATAACTCCATTAGTCAGGCAGTAATTCTGCTTTGCAACCAGCCAATAAACTCAGAGAAGACGTGACGTAAACATAACATAAAACTCACATTTCATCCTGCTGTTTTTTTTTTTTTAAACATTCTGCCTATTAACATACATCATCGAGAAGATGAAGAATATTTAAATCCTTTATTTCGTGTTTGGTTTCAGCGCCGCTCCAAAAGTGTTTTGCTGCGTCTCACGACAACCACCATCTGTTCTCGCGCCTGTGCAGACTGAGAAAACTGAAAGAAATCAGAGTAAGAGTTTACATGCACTGAGAAATCTGAATACTGAGCTAAAATCCAGCTCTATTTATCGGATTTCTTAATCAGATTTTGAGTATGGTGTTAACATGACCATTTGAATAATTGGTTAACTGCAGAAATCACTCGGGATTATTGAGTGAATGTATTATATGCACTCAGTGACTATATGCAGCTCCGAAATGCTCATAGTTGTCACAGTGTGTAAAGCAGACGACTGCTTGTTACTGCTGACTACGTCATTTAGCTTGAGTAAAGAAAATATGTTTTAGTTGTTTATTTATATGTATTTTGCAGATGCTTAATTTGCCATATAACAAAGAAAAGGATGCCCCTCTCTGTCATCCAGCTCTGTCAGGGTGTTTATTTTGTATGTTTGAGTGTCTGAATGCTCCTTTTTTATGTTTAACTACTCCTTAGGATATGCATGTTTGTTTTTTATCATTCTGATCACTCTGGGTACTCTCCACTTGTGGGATGCCTTTACGGACTGAACTGTCTGATACAGTGAGCTGTGATGGATGTGTAATCAGTAGGACGAGGGTGCCCAATCCTGGTCCTGGAGATCTACCACCCTGTCCAGTTTTGCTCCACCCGTGATTTAACACACATGATCCAGATAATGAAGGCTTTTGGGGGCATCTGAATGTTAGAGTCAGGTGTGTTGGAGCTGAACTCTCCAGGATGGTAGGGATTGAGCACCCCTGCAGTAGGAGAGGCAGAATCAGGAGATCTAGAGTCTTACAGTGGCTTTGTATTCCTGTTGTACATTCTCATAAGTATGTATCAGAGGAGTTGGTGCTCAGTTGTGGAGATGACTCCTTTTTTCCCAGCTCCTGCAGTGCTTTTTGGGATGTCTGGCAATGGTCATGTTGGACACTGGGGGCTTGGGGGGGGTCTGAAATTAAGAGTGGACAAGCACACACTTCCTCCACCATTCTCCCTGCTGACCAAGCAAACCCTGACCACATCCTCGGACGCCATGACTTTCGCCAGAAGTTTGGAAACATTGAGACCTCTTGGCTCATGGCTGTTTCTTTTTTTGTCCTTGGCAACTAAACCATTATTTGGAATCGTTGTTTTCAACAATTTTAAGCTAATTGGGTTGCAGATAAATGTATGATTATAATCAGGATTGGTTAAGGAATACGTGTAACGGCGTTATGTAATCAGGATACAAAAAAAGGAACTGTTACCCGTTAAAGTTACGGTAAAAAAGTAAGTTATCAAATTACAGGTACATTAAAACCAGGGTAATTACCAGCAGGATTACATTCAAATGCCAACTTGTCGTCGTTCGCCGAAATTTAGTTTTAATGCTAAACGTGTCACATGTGTCGTGTACATTTGAAGAGTTTTAATTTGGGGGGGAGGCGGTGCTGCTGCCAGGAAATAATCCTGAAGACTTCCCCGTCCAGCAGCAGTTCACTTTATTTTATTCAGCCAACCTGTAGAATTTTATTTTGTTTTTATTTTCATTGGCTGAACTGATAAATGCAGTCTTTTTTGGATCAGGAATCGAACCTGGATTTCCACATCATTCTACAGCAGCAGACTGATGGCAGTAAACTCTTTATTCTCGTTTATTGCTCCACAAAATTCCAGTTTGACCGAGCATAATTCAAACTTTTTTTTACCTGCCAGGTTTAACTAACAGCCTGAAACGTGAAAAGAGAGCGAATTAATTAGCAAAACAGCAAAGTTAGTTTCGTTTTCACTCGAATGACAAATTTTCGTGCGTTAAGTTAAATTCATATTAAAAAGTCATGTTGAAATTATTTTTCTTGTTTATTTATTTAATCAAACATCTCTAATGAAAGCCAAGTAATCCAAAAGTAATGGAAAGTAATCAGATTACATTACTTTAATGTAGTAATCCTTTGGATTAGGTTACAATTATGTTTTTTATCAGGTAATTAGTAATCTGTAATGGAATACATTTTTTTAAGTAACCCTCCTAACGCTGACTTTAATTCTGTCCATGCTTTTCACATAATTAATAGGAACCAAAGACAAAGAAATGTTAGATGTGTCCAGAATGATGAACAGAGCTATGGATGATTTTAAAATGACTGAGAAAGAATGACATTCTAGTAAAATTAGTGTCCAGAATGTCTCTAATTTCAAAAGTGTTGATCAAAACTTGACAAAAAAGTAGTGTAAATAGATGATTTATAGAACTGATTTAGAGAATTAATTATTTAATAACTTATTCCCAAAATACTGGCACAGTCAAACTGTATACGTGACCGTTTCGTGTACAGATTCTGGACCAAGATAGCGGAGTGATGGCTGTGAGGTATTTTGGGTTGATGATTCAGCGTGTTTACTGTAACATTGCTTTTAATGATGATTCAGACCATTTTTGGCTGCTTCTGACAGAAGAGGAAAATTCTGTGAGCCTTTCCTGAAAGCTGACGTGTTTATAGCGTACAGCGCTCCTGTTTTCTCTGTAATTGGAATGAATAGCAGCACGACAGGAAACAGTGCAGTCTTTGGCCAAGCAGAGAACAATGCAAACCGCTGCAGCTCCCTCTGCGCTGTTATCCCAGCTGTTAGCAGTCAGAAACACAGGAGGCTCGGAGAGGAAGTGGTACCAATGTGTACCAGGTGAGGGCAAGTGAAGCTTGAAGGAGCTACTCAAAACATTGGGCTTCATCCACTGATATCGTCCTTTTTTAGGTTTTCTTAAATTAGTTCCTGAGAAAGGTTCTAAGAAAAAGTCTTAAACCTTAAAGTTCTTGAGCCTAACCTAAGAACAAATCCCAAAAAAGAAAACACTGGTGAATGTAAGAATCTTTGTGAAAAGAAATTTGTAAGAAGAAATTTCTTTCTTACCTTTGCGCAAAAAATAAATTCCAGTTCTCCAGACAGGGTTTGGATTCTTTAATTCTATGGATTAGCCTTTTTCAGATTGATCAAGAGCGTGTTTTATATGGTTCCAAATAGAAACTTTCTGAAAAGTGTGTTCTATATAGCATCAAAAGGGTTCTTCTGTTGTTACAGACTTGACATCGTAACAATTTTTTTTTGATGCTATATAGAGCCCCTTTTCAAAAAGGTGCTCTATAGAACCATGTGCAGCACAGTTTACATCACTCTGAAGAACCCTTTCACGATGCAAAGAACGCTTTAATCATGTAAAAGGGTCCTTTGAGTGTTCATGGTTCTATATAGAACCTTTTTCTTTACTTAAGAACCCTGGAGTACCCATCATTTTAAGAGTGTAGCTTACATTAGACAGCTTTTTAGAAGATTTTCCTGATACCACTTAGTGCCTGTGATCATGTAAATACAATAAACCTGTCATATATCTGTATATAAGACAGATTTAAATGAGTAAATATGCAAATAGATATACTTTTATTTCTACTCTCTTATACTTTAACTTATGTCTATTTTTATTTCTTTTTTTTTCTGCATAATATATATAAGGTTATGTGCAATCATATGTCTTGCTACTGAAACACTGCAATTTCGGGATCAATAAAGATCTACCTACCTATCTCCCTTACCTGTCTGTCTATCTACGTTAGTTACCTTTGATCAAGAGGCGCTGCTGTGAAGAAGAGCGGGTTTAGTTCCACATCAGTAAAGCGCTTCTGAACAGCTGCAAGTAAACTGTGTCTCGTAGTTTTGAATCCCCACTGTCTCTGTAGTACAGTGATGGCAGTGATGTAGTACAGTCTGTCCGAGGCTACGGCATCTAAGGAAGTCTTTTGATTGGCTGGTTGAGTTATAGTTTAACATCCTCTAAAGCCGAGCTGCTAACACTGTGCACTAAAACTAAACCAGGCGGTGATGAACATGCTAAGACAGGAAAGTCTCTGTACAGCCTGTTTTACCAAAACAGGTAAAAAAAAATCTACGTTTATACCTCGCAGGTCTGTTCAGTCAAGCGGAGTGAAGACTTTGGTAAATGTCGACTTTTTCCTCCTTTGTTTTTCTAGCCTGTGTGTCCACTTGTATTGGGGAACTGATTGTGTTTGTGTGTGTTTTAAAACGAGCTGAAATCGTAGTCATAATCACAGTGTATGTCTGGTGGGAATTTGCCAAGGAAGAATGTTTGAAGTGACCAGTTTCTGTGTCCAACTGTCACATAGTCAGTATCTCTCCTCTGTGTGAGCGGAGCCTCCTTCACTGCCTTTGTTCATTAGTGCAGCAGTGGACACTTGGCTTATTGGTATCGGTGAAGTACGAGCACGAGTGGATGAGGGCGATACAGGCCCGATACCCGACACCAATATCGTTATCGATGCATCCCTAGTTTCAATATAGTCATACATGGAGTTTATCCTTTTAAGTCTTGGTTCCCGTCTGCTGTCTCACTGGGATTCATCAGGAAGCTGGACCTGCATTTGAAAAAGGGACAGCAGTGCGCTGTGTATAAATAAGAGGATTTGACCTTCTGTTTTTGACCAGTGTAATGTAAAACACTCCTCTAATGAACTGGCTGACTGTGTCCGGTAACGTTTTAGACATGAATGTTTTCAGTCTAGAGTCATTTACCAGCAGAGGCAGGAATGGTGAAGCACTAAAGATTCATATCAGATGACTCCTGTTTGTTTGTTCATTCACGTGTGTCGTCTGTGGGGTAGTTGTGCGTGTGTGTGTGTGTATATGAGTGAGTTTGGCCCCCGAGTGCGACATCGTGTCTCGTACGCATAATGACCTCTGGTTGACCCTGGGCTTTGACCCTGCCCTCGCTGTGGAATGCGACCCCCAGCAGAGGCCGTGTCGTGCGTGAGAGCTCAGCGGTCATCAGAGACTCCAGTGCTGACTCATTCTCCCGTAGTGCCAAGGGATTGCTCTTTAACTAACGTGGCCACTGGTCACTATTCCTTCATGCACTACAGATCAGCATAAGAACTTGAAATAAACAAGTGCCCTCACGTTACGACTGCAGTATTTTTTCAGAAAAAAGTGCAGTCGTAACGTGAGGGCACTTGTTTATTTCAGTAATGTGATAAGGATGCATTGGCCAAAATTTGCTCGCAATATTTTAGCCAAAATAATTTACTTCTGTTGGATTACCTACCCTGACCCACAGAAGCTCATCTGGAACTGTAATTGGTCAGGATGTACACAATACAGTGTTAAAGTTAGTGTTAAAGTTAGTAACACAGTAACGATTGACAAATAATATTGGGTAGCCCTATTAATATACATGAAATAGAGCTATAGACTGTTAATTAGGCCTATTTCCAGGATTGCACAATATTTAATGTTAGTTAATAATTTAAATAATTAAATAAATAATTTAGTTTTCACAGTAAAAAAAGTATTTATTTTCAAGTCAACTCTTTTTTACATATTCACTGTAATAATGCAGCAAATTAAATTTAAAAATCCATATTTGAGACATGCTGTCCATATACAGTGCAAAACATGGTGAATATGTTTATCCTTTACTTCATTTAAACTTTCAAAATAAAAACCATTTATGAGTCTGGTTTTACAGTACATTAGTAAAGTTTTAAAATCAAAACTTTATGTAGATTTACAGTAAATTACTGCCTGCTGGTTGTGTTACTTTTACAGTTGTGTCAAAATACAAGAGAACGCAGCTGCATCGGTCTCACTGGACTGCGCCTTTTGATTTGAAGGCCAACACTCTTATCTGAATCTGTTGTAACATCTGTGGACGTCAGGCTTGCAGAACAGCACAAGTTCAAAAAATCCCTTCTAAAGGTCAAAATAGCCCCAGTGAAATAAAACCAGCGGGCAGACATTACTCCTTGATGAGACATTTGGGTAACTCTTTAAAGGCTTCCTACATAGGGACTTCATAATGTATGCAGACACTGAGTAACATGTTTATTAAGCAAAACTTGAATATTTATTAACAGATTGTGCCAGTAAGTACTTTGAGTCATTTGAGATATTATGCATTACAACTGTGATGAGCAGGTTCTTCTAAAGAGGCCTGAGCGTTAGCTGCTTATGTTTTCAGCCGCAGTGGTCTGTACTTTAACTCAAGCAGAAATATATAGGAATGATATTCGGTGTTCTTAGGCCTCTGCCTCATAAGTTCCATTACGTGGGAATGATGCTTCGTAACAGTGTTATAAATGGAACAAATGTCTGTCACTTTACTTTAAGGCCTTTTATGTCAGTACATTATCATTCATTTTATAAAACTCGTTCTCCTTTTTCATTTTGCTGGCATAAGTTTTAGAAATGTTTAAGTATTGCTTTATAATTATGTTGTTCTATGCTTTGCGTGTGTTATGAAGTTCCTGTGTAGGTAGTCTTTAAATTACCAAAGTTTGATATTTGATGCTGAGTCTAATGCTTACGTTAATGTGTGTGTTTTTTCAGGTATCTGTGTAAAATGTGGAAAAGGAGTGTATGGAGCAAGTCAGGCGTGTCAGGCGATGGGGAACTTGTACCACACTAATTGTTTCACCTGCTGTTCATGTGGTGAGTACGCACACCTACACACTCACACCCACCCACACACACCTGCCTTTTCTGCTTCCTACACCTGTCCTTTCTGCCTGTGCCTGCACACACCTACACACACCCATCTAGTTACAGTTCCACCTTTCAGCACTCTTGTGTATATGTGTGTGTGTTTTGTGTGTTGGTTCTAGAGTGTTTTCGCAGCTTTATTTGTTCGTTTACAGCTTTTAAGAACCTGACCAAAAAGTACCCAAAAAAGGAGGAGCCAGAAGAGTCCCTGTTGGTATTTGGCCAGAATTCTGGGTCCAAAATATACTGCTGTGTGTGTGTGTCAGTCTTTCTGTCTGTCTGTCTGTGTGTCCTCTCACACACCCACTCCGGGGCTGCTGTGTCACCTGACTCTGCTGAGGAGGTGTCCTGTTTCAGCAGTGTGTGTTAGAGGGTGGAAGCCGTCAACATGGGCCGGCACTTCCTCCATTGAGTTCTCTGCTACACGCAGATACGCTTTCCTCTGCCTTTAGAGGCAGAACAGATCATTTACGCTCAGCGCAGGCTCTCCCACTCTAAACGCATTGTTCTGGGCAGGAATGCGGTCATCGGCGCCGGAGCTCTCTCGTCTTTAGGCACAGTCGGAGCACAAACAAGACCGGAAAAAGGCTGCAGCATTGCTAAACCATTTCGTCTAATGACCGCTTGTTCTGCTGAGCCCATGTTTTTTTTTTTATTTTGAGATATTGGCCTGATGTCTGCTTGAACTGTTTAAAACCAGGTATCACTTTAGGTTCGGAGGCTGACAGCAGGGTCGCTCAACAGAGTCCCAGTCTCAGATGCTCCGCCTACAGAGTTAGCCAGACCATCTGTTGTATATTTTATGCTAAGCTGGCTACAACTAATTATAACAATGATGCTGTGATTGGCTATCCACTATTCTATGGATGTCTCTACATACGTCCCTACAGTGAAATCAGCTTAACAGGAAACAACTTTTGTTTGTCAAGCTAAATGTTAGCTTCCTGCTCTGCACACTGCACAATAATGAAAGGTTCACATGATGCGTAAGAGTCAGTGGTTGGTCAGTTGGCATGGCAGTCTCTTGCAGAGGTCCCTTCCTGTCAAAGAAGGCCGTTCTAGGCCTCGTTAATCAACAGAACCCTCTGGACTCTCTGAATGATGGCCAACGATCTGGCTTTCAACATCACTGGCCAGTCATTAGTCATGCATAACATGCTTGGTAGTGGAATGTGTTGTAATCCTGCATTTTATTATTATATTATTATATATGTTTTCATTTTAGAAACTTCTACATTCTCCAGAATGTCGGTTTCATGTTCAGTGCAAAATCTGTAGCTTGTGCTGTGTTAATTAGTAAACAGGTCCGTTGTGATAATGCTTACTTTAACAGTAATGAACCGGACAGCTTTGTTTTGGCTCTGATTGCAGGACACTTTGGGCTTCATAAACAAACCAGAAACTTGGAATTAAAACATTATTAGAAGGAGTCATCGTCATTAGAAATCATTAGACATGGCACCAGTCCGATACTAGGTGTCGATATGCAAGATGGGATATTGGAGGATAAAAAGAATGAATGTGATCCAATTCTGTAACAAATCTATCCTTAAATAGTGTTCAGGCACACAGTGTGATGTGCTGTTAGCTGTGTAGTAGAGTGATTGAGTCGTTTTAGTGTTTTAACCTACTTCTTGATGCTCATCTTAGTTGAAGTGCTTCAGTATAAAAAAGCTAATTTAAAAGTTTATTAGTTTTTAGGGAAGAATAGTAGATCAGTGTCGAATGATCCTAGGGACGCACCAAAATTTCAGCCACTGAAAATTTTTGGCTGAAGATGGTCAAAAGTGTCTCTTTTGGTTCTCTCTTGTGCTGGTCAGCAATGTTGACCATGAAATTTTGACACAATGCAAAGGGTACCTTGAGTTTTCAATTTTTTTGAGTTATGTTAAGTGAAAGGGTTTCTGTGTTTTCGGTTCTGGCTGAGTTTGTCCTAAATTTCAGTTTTGTTTTTCAAGAATTTTCATTGCGGTGCATCAAGAGCTGATACTGAAGGTTCCAGTATCGGTTTCGTAAAAAGAAGTGGTATCATGCCGTCTTTAATCTTCAGTTCTAGTCTCATGTCATGGTTTTGTGACTTGTTCTATGGTGAGTTTGAACACACTGTTCCAGGAAAAGCGCATAGATGCCTGTGTGTAATTTAGAGAGCGGGTGTCTGGCTGTGCGTGTGCTCTCGGGTCATTTTGTACAGGAGCTGTGCTCTGGGTAATTGCTGTGTGCTCTTGGCTCTGGCCCACAGCTGCAGCCTTTTCTCATCAGAAAGCCCAAAAATGCCCTCCAGCCCCCCCTTTACTGGCTTCCCCTGTGGACCTCTTCCAGTCACATTGTACTCTTCCATACAACATCATACACACACACATACAAACATCCCTGGCATGAGCTTAAGTAAATAACAAATACAGGCACACACACTTACGTGCATGTTTTTACACACGCTTACATGCATGTGTCAGGATGTGGGGTTGTACATGTTTTAGGCGTCTGAGAAAATAAGATCTAAAAGCTGTTTAATTGGGCAGAAAGCATTTATTTACTCAGTAAGTAAACACAAATAATAGTAATGCCGTAAGTACTGGTTTTATGTGTTTACTTAACACGCCATTTTGAAACCTCTCCTCATGGCAGCCCCTTTATTTGTAGTTGTCATCCACTACCTGGTTTGGGTAATTTATACTTCATTAAGTGAAATCAGGTGTGCTGGTGGTAGCTGGGGGCAACCAGGAGAAATATGGAACCATATATATATATATACACCAATCAGACATAACATTATGACCACCTCCTTGTTTCTACGCTCATTGTCCATTTTACCAGCTCCACTTACTATATAGGTGCACTTTGTAGTTCTACAGTTACAGACTGTAGTCCATCTGTTTCTCTGATACTTTGTTAGCCCCCTTTTACCCTGTTCTTCAGTGGTCAGGACCCCCATGGACCCTCACAGAGCAGCTACTATTTGGGTGGTGGATCATTCTCAGCACTGCAGTAACACTGACGTGGTGGTGGTGTGTTAGTGTGTGTTGTGCTGGTGTGAGTGGATCAGACACAGCAGTGCTGCTGGAGTTTTTAAACACCTCAGTGTCGCTGCTGGACTGAGAATAGTCCACCAACCTAAAATATCCAGCCAACAGCGTCCTGTGGGCAGCGTCCTGTGACCACTGATGAAGGACTAGAGGATGACCAACACAAACTGTGCAGCAGCAGATGAGCTATCGTCTCTGACTTTACATCTACAAGCTGGACTGACAAGGTAGGAGTGTCTAATAGAGTGGACAGTGAGTGGACACAGTGTTTAAAAACTCCAGCAACACTGCTGTGTCTGATCCACTCACACCAGCACAACACACACTAACACACCACCACCACGTCAGTGTTACTGCAGTGCTGAGAATGATCCACCACCCAAACAGTACCTGCTCTGTGAGGGTCCATGGGGGTCCTGACCACTGAAGAACAGGGTAAAAGGGGGATAACAAAGTATCAGAGAAACAGATGGACTACAGTCTGTAACTGTAGAACTACAAAGTGCACCTATATAGTAAGTGGAGCTGATAAAATGGACAATGAGCGTAGAAACAAGGAGGTGGTCGTAATGTTATGCCTGTTATTTATATATATTTATATACGTATATATTTATATATATATTTATAGTTTTTTATTGCTCAGATAAATTGTTTTAAACAAGTTGCTTGTGCACCTCAGAGTGTTTTCTCACTTGTTTGAAATGCTTAAGTCCGCATCCAGGACCAATTCTGGGCTGGCTTGGGGGGAGGGGCCTAATATTGCTGGTTTGCTTTCACACACAAGAACTCCATCCAAATCATGGATCGGTTGCGCAATTCCATACGTCACTTTTTCTATGTGCAGGTTTGCGAAATGGTCGGCTGTGGTCTAGCTTTATCCGTTTGCTGCTTTTTATTACTTTCCTTGGATACAAACACTCAAGTGGCATAGAACAGCGATTTTTGGATACATGGCGTTTCACCATGCAGGAGCATCTGCAAACAAGGAGAAGAGACGCAACGAGTCGGAGCAGTCACATTACAAAATGAACCAATCACACAATCATACACGCGGCACTGGGAGCTGATAGCTTCCACATGCTAGCAGACCATACCAGAGTTTGCTGGAACTGATCTCCAGACCACAGACTGCAGGAGAACCAGAGATGGGTTCTCTGGACCGCTCCCTCTGGACTCCAAAACAGCTTTCACACTGATCAGATAAAGTGATTTTTCAGTGCTGTAGCTGTATCTATTCGATACGGAAAGAATGTGATCTGACAAAGCTGAAAATTATAATCATTTTGTGTCGCATACAGCCTTTTTAAACAAGCGCTCTCTTGGAAAATACCTGCATTCAGCAATAAAGAAAGCCTCTCGCTTCTTTTATATAGTGATAGAAAACACAGTGCCACTCAGAAAGCAGTTGTACATGCTGAGACATTTTACTACGACTGACATGGACGTGACGTAACTTCTCAGTCGACAAATTTAAACGAGTTGAGGAGAACGACGCCAGAGTCTGCGAACGTATCGCCGGTGAGATGTTCGGGTTGTTAGGGTTTGATAAGGAACAGCAGAACAGCAGCTGTCTCTCACTCTTGTTGTTGTATTCACTTAGAAAGTCTTGAGTATGTGAGAGAGAATGAGAGGGTGTGTGAGTGTATAGACTAGCAGGCCTACACATGCTCAGAACTGAAGGCTAGAATTTCCCCTCTCAAATAAAACACATTCACACAGACACACGTACACTCAGTGAGTCATCACCTCCAACGTCCCGTCATGCACCGTGCCCCAGCCCACCTGCAGGTAATAAGGACCCGCTTGTTCTCTCTGCGGAGAGAGAGAGAAGTGTGTGTGTGTGTGGGTGTGTGGGTGTGTGGGTGTGTGTGTGGTTGGGTGTGTGTGTGTGTGTATGGACTTTGAAAAACAAGACTAACCTAAAG